TTTTTTTTTTTTTCAATTTCTTTTGATTTCGCCCATACCCCCCCATCCAAAAGTTGATCTTTTCCATTTTTTTTTTTGTGGGGGGGGGTGCGGCCGGGGATGCGCCGCCACGTGGCGTCTCCCATTTTTTGAAAGTCCCTCCCGCGCGGCCGCCACGTGGCTTCAAAGCCGCACGGACGCGTCCGCGGGGTCAGTCGACTAGCCGCGTCCGCGGAATTGGCCGCGGATGGCCGCCGCCGAGGGAGATTCACTGGGCGGGGCTGGTTTCCTCATAAGAATTTCGATGATCTGTTGAAGCAACCTCCCAGCAACTCTTACGTACGTATTGTCGAGATCGAACTTCACCAATTCACGTATCATCTCAAAGCTTACTGAGTCCCAACCCACCTGCTGCATCCCTCTCTGCAATTTAGCACCCTTTCCTTGCTTCTTGATAAGAACCCCATACATGCCCTTTGCTTGCCAGTAATCAGTAATCCATTCAACTGCCTTAATGATCGAAGGTTGGGGAAGGTTGCAAAACATTTCTTTTATGTCAAACGCCGCAATCAGCCATCCTTCCTCATCGCATAACTGGTCATTCATTCCGTCCAAACCCCCCACCAACATGTCGGTATTCTTCAAATTGAAATATGTACCAACGGGCAGATCCCAGATCATCTGATTAATGCTCCTAGAAACCTTCCTACAGGCTCTCACCCCACACTCAGAAAAAGATGGGCAGATGGGGCGCCACCTTCGCACATCCTTGTGCTTTGGGATTACATAAGCATCCCCAAATCTTCCTCTTCGATCCCATCGCGCAAGCTTCTCAAAACCTTTCTGCTTATACGAAATCTCCAGATCAGAAAGCAGAATCGTCTCAGACCCCATATGCATACGAAAACCAGGATTGTTCAAAATAACTTGGACAACCCTTCTCGATAGAGGACCAGGCAACAGACTAAAGTATCACCTGCATTATGGTCGATGGGTGTCTTAACCAGCCCATCCAAACGACCTTTCCAATCTTCGACCTCCTCTACCATACACCCACTCGACTCACTTAATCCTGATGTCCGAACGCACGTCTCGACTCCCTTCAGAGTAACCTTTCTCACATCAAACCCAGTTTCATTGAGAGCTTTGTTAAGCTGACTACGAAGCCTGATCAGAACACTGCCACCCCCTGGTCGTGGGATGTTCTTACTGTTCTTGAGCCACTCCGGTATATCGGGCATATCATTCAACCTGAAACATACATGCGCACCATCCCTTGGAAAGCCATCCCCGAATTTCCCACAAGTACACTCAGACTCAACAACCCTTGCTGCTATTCTAAAATCGAACAGCATATCACCAATACTCAGGCTCTTGTTCTTGACCTACACAATTCGCATTCGTCGAACCACCATAGACTTCCATTCATACAACACATCGGCTCCCATGATAGTCTCTGCGCATAAACTTCTGACACTTGACTTGCTCAGCCGGTCATCATACGTAACTCGAACCGTTAACCTCCTTCTAACATTAATTCCGAATCTCCTTCGAATAACTCCAGATAATATAAACCGCAAAGAATATCGTGTCCACTTATCCGAAAACCCTCTGATAGCGGAAAAACCCGAGATCAGTAGCCCCAAGTCCCAGGAATTCAACAGCTTCCTAGAGCAGGGCGCAGACAACAACTTAGATAGGGCTGGTTTCAGAATGAGGGACTTGGAGCAGAAAAGAACCACAAAGTTAAAACATGGGAGATTCCCAGAAGTCAACCAGCCTTTAGCTCTTCGAAGTAGTTCCACATCATCGCCCAGACGGACCACCGACGATCCAAATTTCCGCTTGAGAACCTTCTTGTTCTCAGCCAATCGTAATCCCCCAGAACACTTAATACCCACAGAGCTAATCTTCTTATCCCAACAATATTCCAAAATCTTAATCAAAGAGCAAGACACCAATCCCACGGTCGAATAGAAAGTCAAATGCGTGGACAAGGGTTTCCCCACCCACTCCCTCCTATTTCGCTTAGCCCTTTCACGCTTCCCCAATCTCTTTTTCTTTCCACTGCGAGGCCTATCCCGACTGTTCAAATGCAGATCTATTAATTTAATAATATTCGTTTCAAGTCCCAACAAATCATCCGCCAAGCACCTAAACAAGGGAATAGCCACATAGCTATCAACATCACAACGCCTCAACCACGCATACAAACGATGATTCCTCCTCCCGTTCTCGACAACTTTGAGATTACGAGTCTTGAAGACATGCTCATTTCAGCGGGTTGGTAGATCTCGCCCCCGACCTAACGTACATATGACGATTCCATGGGGAAATAAGCACATAAACCAACGGTCCATGACAATCCTCCAAATCGAAATCCGAAATCAACAGACGTAAAACATATTCCCTCAATTTTTCCGCCCACGGTATTTCCCCACGCAAAATTAATCCAATAACAGCCAATCGAAAATAAGCATTAAAACTCTTATCTCTGATCCACAGGGCCCCGTCACCCCCCTTACCTTTACTCAAGAACGAAGATCCAGACGTCCGGTCACCCACAGAAGCATTCCTACGCTGTCTACACTCATTAGCCGAAGACCATAAAGACGTCGTGCTCGGGAGGGAAACTAGAGCTCAACGGAGGTATCGTTTGCTAGGTTTGTGGACTCATCTCTGGAGGATTCGACTTCAATGACGACCGCAAGTTCTTTCCCCCGATTTTTGCTGAAGGCCGACTCTGCACGATGTTCTGCGATCAGGCAGATTAGATCGTCAACTTTCCCTCCGGTGCTCAACCCTGCTTCCTTGCAGATCTGCTCGAGCGCGAGCTTCCTCAATTGCTTCAACTGCTTTTTCTGTTGCTCGACAAATGCAGCTCGGTCAGTGCACCCATCCCCAGGCTGAACCTCTTTGGCCGGAGTATCCCTAAACCCGTTTCTTTTGGGGGTCACTTTCCTGCCTTTCCTTGCACTGTTGACAGCGACCGCCTCCATTCTTTCCCTTAAATTCGTTCCTCCTGGCTCCTTTTCGCGTCCCTCATCACCGGCCTGTAGGTTGCTCATTTGTTGTTGTAGTTTGATAACCTCAGCTTCCGCCTCCGCTTTCTTCTTCTTCAAAGCCTCAACCTCCAAGGAGTCCACCCGTCTCATGCTCTGTAACTTTTTGTACTTTATTCTCCAACTACTCTCTGGCGGAGCATCACCGCCTGTCCATCTTGCTCTCGGTGTTCCCCTCGTACTCGTTTCTGGTGTGTTCACCGCGATGTTGCCTCTCTTGTTACCTGGCCTTAAAGCCTTATCTTTCCATGTAGAGTCTCGGTCTTCAGCTGTTCAATCAATCGCTTGAGCCCGGCAATTTCCTGCTCCTTAACCGTAGATTCCCGAAGCTGCTCGATCTCGTGTCTCAAAGCAGTCATCTCATCATCCCTCCCTGACTTGTCCAACACCTGCTTCCTTAAGTCATTGACCTCCTTCTGTAACTTTCTAACTCTATCATCCTCACCCTCACCAAGCAACGTTTTCCTCAAGTCCTCGTTCTCACGTCTAAGCTTGGCCAATTCGTTGTCCATACTCGAACTCTTAGTCGCATCCGGTTGTCTATTCACTTTAACATCCTCACACACCTTCGCAAGCTTTTTGTCAATTTTTTCACCCATCTCCGACTCTAATTGTTGTCTCTCCTTCTTCCATTGCTCCTTCCGTTCGTCTTCCTTCTTCTGCTTTTTTAACCTCTCTTCTTCCTCTTTTTTCTTAGTCTCTTTCTCCTGGTCAGCAAGAAACTTGTTGTACATGGTATCGAGACGCTCTTGATTATTCCTCCAAAAATTTAGCCTCGGAGCACCACCGCCAGCATGATATCCATAATTCGAGTATCCATTGCTTCGCACCCCCACTCCACTGTCCGTAGAAAAAGAAGCCGCGGAACCACCATTTTGAGCAGGTGCCGGTAACGCCAGTACTGTCCCACCTGTAGGAACAACATTCGCCCCCGTGGCCGGAGGACGATACCCACCGGTTCGCTGCGGGCATTCCCGGTAAAAGTGATGCAGAGAGCCACACGTGAAGCAACCTCTAGGCGGGAGAGGGGCAGCCATATCGATAGCGGTTAAATGAAAAGAAATAAGAATTTAAGAAAAATAGAGACAAGAAGGAGAAGAAGGAAAGTCGCGTATCCAAAGCTTATCCGAAGTAATCCTATCAGCTAGCAGCGAGCCACACTCCCGTAGTACAATTCCTACGGGGGTTACAACGATGAACGGATGGTATGAGTACATCCAACAAGCATCAAGGATGACTTCTGAAAGGCGACAAAAACACAACTGAGACAACGACAACACCAAAAAAACACGACAGAAAGAGAGAGAGAGAGAGAGGGAGAGAGAGAAGGAAGGAGGAGGGGAGAGAAGGAAACCACACGCAGAGGTATCAATCCCGAACGCGACGAGTGGGCAATTAGAATAAACAAGATAACAGCCCATCAGGCTCGAACGAAGGTAGGCGGCACGCCCATAGTCAAAGCAGCGCAGATCGAGTCTATTGGCGGTCGACCCTACATGTTTCATCCGGTCGCCAGMACCGGACTCATCAGGGGTCTAATCGCGAACTGATGACTAACTCTGTGTGTCGAAAGATCCTAAATACTCTATATAAAATCAAAGCGAGCTCGTCATTACCTAAGTCAGTCTCGACTCGGTCTCTAATCGCGACCAAACCCAAAGTCCGAAACCGCACACCGTTCCTACCAAGTCCGTTCAGGTACCAAACTGAAGCGTCACAACAAAAGCCCGCCCGGGCCCAGAAGCTTCCAGAAACCACTTTGTTCTGTCAGACGCATCATTCCTACAACTCCGTTCGGGTATCGAATCCCAAAAGGAACACACAACAACCCGAACCCGTCCGGGTACCAAATCCCAAAGAAACAACTCAACAAGGACCCAATCCAGGTCCAGAGGCATCCAACRCCTACTTCACACTGTGGCAGGCTACCACCAATGTGTCACTACCCCATTTAAAAACAGTGGCAGCATACCACTCTTATCACTCAGGCAGAACCSTGTCCCAACCTGTCMGACAATCAACCCATATGTGCCAAATGCCCCCGAATTTATTCRAAAAATTCCTTAAGACATCATCAAAAAATCTATCCTTAAAACCCCTCAATCTCAATTCAACCTTGAGGGCAAACAAAAAACTCAGCTCTGCCCCCGGCATGTTTCCGGGTCAATCCTAACCCTTCAGTCTGGAGGTTGACGTATTTCACAATCCTTTTTTTTTTTTTTTTTTTTTTTTTTTTTTGGTTTCCGGGTCAATCCCAACCCTTCAGAGACTCATTTGTTTTCCCTTACCGGATTAGAAAAGGGAAAAGGAAAACGAAAAGAAAGCTTTGGGTGCCGTACGAACTGTTCAAAGGCGGGCTTGTGCCGTCACTTTCATCGTGCACAGCTCAGTGCAGGAGGAGCACATCGTGAGCCTATCCATGGGGCTACTCCACACAAAAAACGAATAGAAGGACACTCTAGGGGACATCGAGCAGCCCTAAAAAAGGGGATGATAGAAACAAAAACAAAAACGGTACCAATGTGTCGAGCTCAGTTGGTATATCTTCCAACTGTCAAAACACAAATGTGAGTTCGAGCATAATGCAATTTTCCCATTTCTAAATTAGCTGGGGCTGGCCAGCTCCACAATGATTTTTTTTTTTCTTTTAAAGCTATATTCTTCTCTCAATTTCACCTCTCATTACCTACTTACCACTACTCCAATCCTGTACAAGGGACCCCTGCAAGCATAGCTACCTCCCACAATTACTAAGGGGATGCATGTTGCCCCCCACCCTAGGTGGTAGGGTGGGGCCGCACGTGTGTGTGTGTGGGGGGGGGGGGTGTAATGCAAACATTGAGCATTTTGCCAGGATGATTTTTTTTTTTTTTTTCAAAGCTATATTCTTCTCTCAATTTCACCTCTCACTACCTACCTACCACTACTCCAAGCCTATACAAGGGACCCCTGCAAGCATAGCTACCTCCCACAATTACTAAGGGGGTGCATGTTGCCCCCCACCCTAGGTGGTAGGGTGGGGCCGCACGTGTGTGTGTGTGTGGGGGGGGGGGTAATGCAAACATTGAGCATTTTGCCAGTAGCTGCCCCTCCCATGTACTTCCCCAGCCCCCATCGAGTAACAGCAGTGTCTATGGCCAGCACTCTCCCACACACTGTACACAACACACACAAACACACATGCACACACGTGATGACCAAAGACACTACTACCGATACCAAACGCGGAGGGAGCAAGCCAACTCTCTCAGTTGGTTGGCAGCAAGTGTGTAAGCCCTCTATCAGGGCCGTAATAAGAGAACCGTTGGGATTGAGGGTCGCCAGAGAGACGCTCAATCCAACGGTTCTCTAACCACCGCTGGGATAGAGGGCGTACTCAAGGGCTATTCTTGCAAACAGACGGTCAGTGGGGATTGAACCCACTCCCTCCTGAATGCCACTGGTGTGCCTAACCAACTGAGCCAGGCCACTTGCTCTGCTCGAAGTTGATATCCCAACGCTGTGGCCCGTTCAAAGAGGGTGGAGAAAAAGAACAAATAACCGTGATCAAACACACATTATGCCAGCAACAGCGCACCCCGTTGGTGGGGAGCGGCACCTGGGCTTTTCCCTTCTCAGTCCCGGGTCTAGATCTAGACCCGGGACTGAGAAGAGAAAAGCCCACAGCCCTACGAAAACAACATGAGTTATGAATTGTATCAATGGGACCCGGTTTCCAGCAGGTGCCACTCCCCACCAATAGATGGAGGAGCAGCTCGCCAGAGAGACCCTCAATCCCAACGGTTCTCTTACCACTGCCGGAATAGAGGGCTTACACGAGGGCTCTTCTTGCAAACAGGTTGTCAGTGGGGATTGAACCCACTCCCTCCTGAATGCAACTTGCGTGCCTAACCACTGAGCCAGGCCGCTTGCTCTGCTCGAAGTTGATATCCCAAAGCCGTAGTCCTTTCAAAGAGGTGGAAAAAAAGAACAAAAACCGTGATCCAACACTGAAAACGAAGGAACATTTCTCCAAAAAAAAAAAAAGAAAAAAAAAAAGGAAGGAACAAGGACAAAAACCGTTGCCCTCCTTCCTCCCCGTTGTCTTTTTTCCATTCCCAATACCGGGGCTTCGAAACAGATGAACAGTAATACAGGTGGGCCATTCAGCCCCCCTGAACTGGAGAGGTTTGAGTTACGCGTGCTGAATCTGGATGGGTAATATGCAGAGATGCAGAAAAGCAGATAAATCGTGATTTTCTGAACTTCTCCAAAAGCACCTCCAGGTTCAGGCGGTAAATTAAGCCTCTTTGCTAAGTATGGTAGTGGGACTTCGCCCCAGAGGGTTGGGCATAACAGATTGTGACGATGGACTGCGGGAGGAGAGGAGGTCTCCTCACCTCTACTGTAGCCCCCTACCTTCGTCTACCTCTTCTTCTACCGTTTGTTTTCGCCCGTAAGCCGTTTCTGCCCGTAAGTCTGCACCTCTGCACTACCGTTTCTCCGTTTCCCCATCGTTTCCCGGTCGCTTGCTTCCCCTGCCGCCGCCTCTTCCTCTCACACGCGCCGTCTCTCTTGCGCCTTCTACGTGTTCAGATCCTACCGAAAGCGCCGCCGACTGGCAATAACAGAGAAGCATGAGGACAGCAAGACGCGGAGGGACGTACACACAAAGCGAGCGAGCGAGAGAGAGAGAGAGAGGCGCGGTTGGTGTGTGCGAAAGTCGTAGCGTGCCGCGGTTTGATGTGCGGAGGGACAGAAGGGCGGTAATGCGCGGGACGCTCGGATGTGGATGCCTCTCTGTGTGTGGGTGTCTTCTGTGTGTGTGTGTGTGTCTGTAAGTGTCTGTTTGTGTTCGAAAATTCCCTGTCATTCGCGTTGGTTCCGCACCCGTGCGCGCGTGTGTTTGTGTGTGTGTTTGTGTGTGTGTGTGTGTGTGTGTGTGTGAGAGAGAGAGAGAGAGAGAAGCGGGGGGGAGATCCAGGTTGGGTGAGGAGAGGGGCAAAAGAGCGGAAGTGTGCCGGAAGCTGAGGGTGAGTGTGTATGTGTGTGTGACAGACATCCTTGTTGTCGGTCCGGCTGGTTCCGCATAGCTGTCACGAGTTACTCTAGCACATCCATGCTTTTTCTTTTTGGTGTTGTGCATAGCGGACATCCACAAAACACAGACAGGCGCGCGCGCGCACACACTCACACACACCCACACAACACAGACAGGCGCGCGCACACACACACACACAGACATAGCGAGAAGGAGAGAGAGAGAGAGGGCCACGGATGTATAAGCAGAAGAGATGAACCACAGCAGCGTGCTGGAGGCTGCGAGTGTGCATGTGCGAATTTTTGTTTGTGTGTGACTTTCCCGTCAATCCGGTGTGTTCTTCACATCTGTCCGTCTTCCCTGAACCTGGATGCGTGTGATGGCAACCATGTCCAGAAATAAGTACTACCGATAGTAAAATAGTTCTCGCTTCAAAAAAAAAAAAAAAAAAAAAAAAAGAGTTCTCGTGTAACTATGCCCTGTGGAAGTCACTCCTCGTGTCCTTCGGGACATCCGTTAAAATTGGAACGATACAGAGAAGATTAGAGAAGATTAGCATGGCTCCTGCGCAAGGATGACACGCATAAATCGAGAAATGGAAGTCACTACTCGTCTGCACTACTCTCTCCGCCGGATCAAGCAGTGGTCTGTTGGCCCCTGTGAGGAAAGCGAAATTCGTTTTTTTTAAAGATTTCGGAATAGCAAAAAGAAACATAATGAATACAGTAATCCCAACACCGCCTCCATTTGGGGGGGAAGGAAAAAAAAAAAAAAAAAAAAAAAAAAAAAAAAACCCTCCCTACCCCCCGCGTCTCCCCTTGTATTCGGGCCGTAACATCAACGACCAGCATGATACGGCCGTGTAATAGTAATAGAATCGACGACCCTTATCTCCCAGGCGATCTCTATTCAGTAACCTGTACGATTTGGGCTCTATTCTGTTCAGTCAGTCACGAGGTCAGGCCCAGAACTGCGGCCTCAGCGCCCGCGAAGTTAGCATGAACCTGCGATTGGGACCCCAGTTACTAGGGCTCATCGATTGGGTCCCCAGTTACAAGGGCTCATCGATTGGGACCCCAGTTACAAGGGCTC